TTGTTTTTTAATGTCTCTTGTCATTAAAGCCTGTTTTTGTGTGCAGTCAGTTATTCTGTTTTTTTTTTTTTTTTTTCTTTTGTTTTGTTTTTTGTTCTTTTTTCTTTTGTGTGTGCGTGTGTGTGTGTATGTGTATGTATGTATGTATGTGCGCGTGTATGTGTGTGCGTGTGTGTGTCTGAATGCGGGAAAGTATTATGTTATTCATTCCACTCGCCCCCTTCGGACACGCTCGTCTCTCCATCTCTATGTAATTTGCATTTCCTCCTTCTCACACGTAGCAAGATGGCCTACATTTTTTCTACATTATTTGTGTAATGGATTTCCTTTTATCCTTATATGCATAATCCAGCCATTGCTTATGTGGATGGCGCGTAATGCCTTTGAAAACAGGTGTGAAGTTTTACGAGCCGAGGAAGGAAAACTTTTTTTTTTTTTTTTTTTTTATTATTATAGAAGGAAAACTTTTTTTTTTTTTTTAAGAGTTGTACTTTAGATTTTTTTTTTTTTAATATCCCTTAAGAAAACTTTGTACATTTTTTTTCTTCTTTTTTACCGTTGTTTACTCTCTGTTATATGTCTTAAGTCTCTGTTTCATTTTGTTTAATATGAATATTGACTTTTTTCCATAAATCATAAATGTATACTGTCCTGTATGTAATCATGTATGTATGTATTTTTTTCTGTTCATCATAAACATTTACTTTCATTTATTTACCATAAATGTTAACCTTTTCGTGTAATTAATCATATATAAATGTTCATTTTTTCTAGGTATCATAAACATTTCCTATCGTCTACATACCATAAATGTTTACCTTCTTCTGTATGTAATTTTTTATATATAGATGTTCACTTTTAATAGGTATCATAAACATTTACCTTCATGCATGTACCACAAATGTTTACTTACTTCAACATCAATAATATTACATAAAAATAAAATCACCACATACTTAAACACATACCCACACCCAGGCATACCCACGCATACCCAGACACCCAACGACCCTCAAGTACTAACCGATACCAAGACGGCTTCTTCAACCAAGTACCAACACGTTTTTCCCCTTTCAACGACCCTCAAATACCAACCAAGTTTTTTTTCATCACTCAAGTACCAACCAAATACCAACACGTTCTTTCCTTTCAACGACCTCAATTCTTTTCTTCAACCAAGTACCAACACGCTTTTTTCCCTTTCAACGACCCTCAAGTACCAACCAACGACCTCAAGTACCCAACCAAGTACCAACACCTTTTTTCCCTCCTTCCAGGCAACAAGAAGATGGAATACAAGGCCCGGCAGTGGCACGAGAAATGCTTCTGCTGCTGCGTGTGCAAGACGCCCATCGGAACCAAAAGCTTCATCCCGAGGGACCAGGAGATCTACTGCGCCGCCTGCTACGAGGACAAGTTCGCTACACGATGCGTCAAGTGCAACAAGGTGATTTGGGGTCGTTGCGCGTTTTTTTTTTTTTTTTTTTTTTTTTTGAGGGTTTGGGGTTGGGGGGTGGGTGGGTGGGGGTTGGAGGGGAGGGGGAGGGGGTGGGTCGTTCATACTCGTCTGCTCGTCTGGAGTTTCCTTGGGTTTGCTTTGTTTTTTTCTCTTATCTCGTTCTTTCTCACTTTTTTTTCCTTCTTCCTCTATTTTCTTTAGCTTTTCTTTCTTTCTTCCACCCTTTCTTTGCTTTCTTTCTTTGGTTCGTTTTTCTTGTCCCTATAAATTCAATTGATTCTAGGCAATGAGAGTTTAATGTCTTCCTTTTCCCATGGGAGTTTTCTATATATATATTTTTTTTTTATCCATTATCAGGAATGAAAGAACATCTTTTTCGCTGGATATTAATATTTCATTTTTTTATCTCAACTTTTTTGGTGTAAGAAAACAATCTATGATCAATTTCTGTACCTTAATGAATTTAAACTAGCCTATCCGGTGAATATTTTTAATTGCATTTGATCCGGACCGTGCAATAATCCCCTTCGGATAATATATAATCATATATATATCATTATATCATTTGTCAATAGCAAGACCACGTACAGTGCACATTCTTAATTGTTGACGATTATAAAGAATAATGTAACGAATTGTTCCACCTGCAGTAAGAACAATAAAACACTTATTTTGCCCAAATTCTGTGTATTTGGACCCCAAATACACAGGACAGCAAAGTCTATTCAGAATACTTGAAGTCCATGGAATATTAGTTTCCCCAAAAAACGTTTTATGAGAGCCTTTCTTAGGCACATGGGTGTATGATCCAGTATACAGTGTAAAGTATAAAGACTGCAACAGGAACAAAAAAGGGCAAGAAAACATATAAGGCCTTTTTGCTATTGCTTCGTCAGGGCATACTGTTCCTGTTGCAGTCTGTTCATCATGTTCGTGTGTGAGTTTCGCCTCCCTGACCCATTTCCTCCCCGGCAGATCATCACCTCTGGCGGTGTGACCTACAAGAACGAGCCCTGGCATCGGGAGTGCTTCACCTGCACCAACTGCAGCACCTCCCTCGCCGGCCAGCGCTTCACCTCCAGGGATGACAAGCCCTACTGCGCAGACTGCTTCGGGGAGCTCTTCGCCAAGCGATGCACCGCCTGCACCAAGCCCATCACAGGTCGGTTGCGGCGCGGGAGCTGGGAGCTGGGAGCGGGGAGCTGGGGGGAGGGGGAGCGGGGGGAGCTGGGGGGGGAGCTGGGGGAGCTGGGGGGAGCTGGGGAGAGGGGGGGGTGGAGTCGGGGGTCGAGGTTTTATGCGTGCCTCCGGTTTAGTCGTTTGTTATCGTCATCTCTTTTTATTCGCCTCTTTTGCTTGGGCGATTTTTTTTTTTTTTTTTGGACCAGAAGAAAATCACCAAAGTTGAGAATTAAAAATCCGAATTCAAATCGGAGGATCTAATCTAAAAAAAAAGAAAAAAAAAAAAAAACTAATTGCAGGCATTGGTGTTTTAGTCGTTTATTATCGTCATCTCTAGTAATCCGCATTTTTTTTGATTGAGCTTTTTTTTTTTTGTACCAAAAAATAATGAACACTAAAGCTAAGAACTAAAACCCCCAATCAAACCGAAGGATCTCTAAAAAACAACTCCACTTGCAGGCATTGGTGGCACCCGCTTCATCTCCTTCGAGGACAGGCACTGGCACAACGACTGCTTCATCTGTGCCGTGTGCAAAGGCTCCCTGGTGGGCAAGGGCTTCATCACAGACGGCGCCGACATCCTGTGTCCGGAGTGCGCCAAGCAGAAGCTGATGTAGACGACCTCCTCCTCCAGTGCCGCCGTCGCCCCGGAACAACTCTCCCTTCGACACCATTATTTCCATACGACACAACCGTCTCTCGTGTTTACTATTGTTTTTTTTTTTTTTCTGGAAATGAGGATCGATTTTTTTTTTTAAGAATAATTTTGTGGGTTCACTGGTTTGTAATATTTACTTTGTTTACGATGTTGGCTCGGGCGACGCTGAAATCAAGTGCCTAAATTTTTCATTCATGTTGCCTGAGACTCGAAACATCACTTGTGAATCAAAAGTACACTAAAATAGTAATAAAAAGACTAATTACAGATGGGGGAAAAATTTTGGTGATGTTTCACACTTCTAATGTGCATGCCTTCGAACTATGGGCTTTTCCCCTCTTCTCTATATAGTATTCTTAGGAGAGATAAGCTTAAAAAAAAGCTTAAAGATATCCGAATCGTCCTATATCAATGTTGTTTTTATATATCATGACATTATCAAGGTAACTAGATAGAAAACTGTTTGGTTTCCTTCTCATTAGATTCATGCAGTATAAGACGTATGTTTTGGTGAAGTGAAATTCTAGGACAGCAAAGTTTATACAGTATACTTGGAGTCCATGGAATACGAGTGATCCCTCAAAAACAACGTTTTATAAGAGCTTTTCCTAGGCACATGGATGTATGATCCAATGTACAGTGTAAAGTATAAAGCAAAAAAAGAATTAAATTCCAGTGTTTCATCCTGTTGTCAGTTTTGGAACAATGTTAAAACCAAACAAGCAACTCACACGAAAAATAATCAGGAAGGAGGCAAAGAAATATCAATACTGTGGATTTATTAATAAGCAGGAAGTAACCATGTTGCCTTAAATACTGCTGGAATTCCCTGGAATGGTTGTCACTGCCATTATTTCGACTTTGTTTAACACTGATTATTTTTTTTCTATCTCTAACAATAGCTCTGTGAATGCATAAACAAAACATTGATTATTTATTTCACGAGGGTGTTCAAAAAAAGAAAAAAATCTTCACGTAAAACAGAGAAAAATGAATCAATAGATTGAGTGAAATCGGTGGCATTCGTTCACATCCACCCTCTGTGAGTTCCGTCATTTTGAAAGCCACAATTCAAGATGGTGCTCGAGCTCGTATGCACAATTATTTATATATAAATAAATATATATATTATTAAAGACGTGGGCCGACAGAGACCCACACTCGTCACAAAAACCCATATATAGATACCCACTGTGTGCAGAAACCCCAGCGCTGATTTTGCAATACGTTAGGCAACCCGTGTTTTCTTCTGTATGGAAATCAGAACTTTGGGACATATTCCTAGCCTATCTATACAGGGTGTAAAAAAAAAAAAGATAAATGGGTTTATTTTTCTTCCAATTCATTGTACTTTACTTTTTTGTATTTTTTGTTGCTTTTAATTTTTCTTATGATGAATCATGACCTAACTTGGGCTGGACTGTAGATTTGTAGAGAAGTGACCTTATGTTGGCCGTGTTCTAATCCTTGACTAGAGAGTGCCATACCTAAGGAGGTGGAGTGGCAAGGATTCGAACACAATGCTGCCTTAATAGCATTATTCTAACTTAATACTGTAGTATATTCTTGCATAGATTTATTCTTGACAGTTATGCTTAGACTATAGTTGCAATAGCTCTGTTTACTAAGTATTTTCTGAATGTTAGTAAGGACTTCTTTTGGCATTCTTTGCTGGATCTCACGACGGGAATGCGAGGCCGGAAAACGACGACCTACCTGGCTGGCATCCACAGGTGACCCAGCATTCATTACCAAAATGTATTTTACAATTATTCTTAAAATACTTTGGAAATTGGGGCACTAAGAACAAAAAAAAATATGTTGTTCTTTATCCTTTATAAGCTGAATTATAATTATGTATATAATGAAATAAATATACCTAGCTTGCTTAATAACAAAAGTATCACACGTCAAGCATCTGATGTGTGGTAATAATACAACACTGCTCTGTCGCTGTGCGATTCTCTTCAGTATCCCCCGTTTTAGTTTCAGTTTTCTTTCTTTTTTCTCTCTCTTGCATAATGCTTCGTACAGATTCCCCCCTACAGTTTCATTAAATTATTACGATCCTGCCAGTTATGGAATGTTCAGCTCTTATATCTTTTAATACTTTGATGTTGCTAAATTCTTCTCTCTTTATAGAATTGCCTGTTTTATTCCATTATTCAGTGGAGAAATATAAGATGTATATTCAGTAACGATTACTACCATTTGATCCAACAACAATGAAAGCGAAACCATGTTAGTGTGTCTGACTGCTGTGAAGTCGTGTAGACCAGTTCTCAATAGTTGTTATCAACCTGTAATCAATCTCTTTGCCTGTTTGTAATTGAAATATATCATTATCGTCAGTGCCTCCACTCTTAGCATGTGAATTTTCATCTCGAACCATGATATATTGGCAAAAATCACTTCGACCTGATTGTAAACACAAACAAAAGCCTTTGAAGGGATGAAGGGTCCCTGACTATGCAAAAAAAGGCGTAATTCCTAGTTTTTGTTTTCAATGAAGGAAAATGATAAACTCTATATGCAATACAATCCTCTAAAATGGAATGAATGAAAGAGCATTGACAAAAGTGAACTGTTTCGCACATTTAGAAATAGAACACTGCCACACGTGCTTGACAAGTAAAAGTTTCGTCCATATACTGGTAGGAGAAGTTGGATAGTCTCAGAGCCCTCAACTGTCACTTAGAAAAAAATAAATTGTACATTATACTCTTAAAATCACTTTACATACGTAATGAAACCAACAATGAATGGACATTAGTCAAGTCATATTGGTGATTTTTTTTTTCTCTTTTTTTCCCCAACGTAAAACCACGTGACACACCTACGATTAAGCACCAGATTGTCGTCTAATGTACCAAATTTGGAGTTGCAATTCCCCCCCCCCCCTTTTTCATGTAATATATCTTGTGGAGTGAGCTGTGAGAAAGGTGCTATATGTGTGAGCTTTGTGTTGACCTGGTATTGTTGGTGCACAATTATACTAATGCTGATGTAACCGAGTCCTCTATAATAAATGTGTTACAGTATAAA